CCGCCCCGGGTGCTTTCTGGGGCCGCCCCGGGGACGTACCGGCGCAACCCCGGGGCCATCCCGGGGCCGTACCGAGGCCGCCCTGGGACCCGGGGCCATCCCGGGGCCGTACCGAGGCCGCCCTGGGACCTCCCCGGGGCCACCCCGACGCCGTACCGGGGCCGACCCCTAAACCCTAAACCCTAAACCCTAAAACCCTAAACCCTCAACCCTAAACCATAAACCCTAAACCCTAAAACCCTAAACCCTAAAACCCTAAACAACCCTAAACCCTAAACCCCAAACCCTAAACCCTAAACCCTAAACCCTAAACCCTAAAACCCTAAAACCCTAAACCCTAAACCCTAAAACCCTAAACCCTACACCCTAAACCCTAAACCACCCTAAACCCTGAACCCTGAACCCTAAACCCTAAACCATAAACCCTAAACCCTAGACCCTAGACCCTAGACCCTAGACCCTTGACCCTAGACCCTAGACCCTAAACCCTAGACGCTAAACCCTAGACCCTAGACCCTAGCCCTACACCCTAGACCCTAGACCCTACACCCTAGACCCTAGACCCTAGACCCTAAACCCTAAACCCTAAACCTAAACCCTAACGCCCAATACCCTAAAGCCTAAAGCCTAAACCCCTAAACCCTAAACCCTAAAACCCTATACCCTAAAACCCTAAACCCTAAAACCCTGGACCGCAAACCTTTAAACCCTATACCCTAAACCCTTAAACCCTAAATCCCTAACCCCTAAACCCTAATCTCTAAACCCTAAACCCCTAAACCTTAAACCCTAACCCCCTAAACCCTAACCCCCTAAACCCTAAACCCTCAAACCCTAAACCCTAAAACCCTAAAGCCCTAAACCCTAAACCACCCTAAACCCTGAACCCTAAACCCTAAAACCCTAAACCCTCAACCCTAAACCCTAAACCCTAAAACCCTAAACCCTAAACAACCCTAAACCCTAAAACCCTAAACCCTAAACCCTAAACCCTAAAACCCAAAAACCCTAAACCATAAACAACCCTAAACCCTAAACCCTAAACCCAAAACCCTAAACCCTAACCCCTAACCCCTATCCCCTAACCCCTAAACCGTAATCCCTAAACCCTAAACCCTAAACCCTAAACCCTAAACCCTAAACCCTAAACCCCTACACCCTAAACCCTAAACCCTAACCCCTAACCCCTAATTCCTAAGCCCTAGACCCTAAACCCTAAACCCTAAACCCTAAACCCTAGACCCTAGACCCTAGACCCTAGACCCTAGACCCTAGACCCTAGACCCTAGACCCTAGACCCTAGACCCTAGACCCTAGACCCTAGACCCTAGACCCTAGACCCTAGACCCTAAACCCTAAACCCTAAACCTAAACCCTAAAGCCCTATACCCTAAAGCCTAAAGCCTAATCCCCTAAACCCTAAACCCTAAACCCTAAAACCCTATGCCCTAAAATCCTAAACCCTAAAACCCTGGACCGTAAACCTTTAAACCCTATACCCTAAACCCTTAAACCCTAAATCCCTAAGCCCCTAAACCCTAATCTCTAAACCCTAAACCCCTAAACCGTAAACCCTAACCCCTAAACCCCTAAACCTTAAAACCTAACCCCCTAAACCCTAAACGCTGGACCCCTAAACCCATAAACCAAATCCCTTAAACCCTAAAACCTAAACCCTTAGCCCTAAAACCCTAACCCCCTAAACCCTAGCCCCCTAAAACCCTAAAATCCTAAACCCTAACCCCTTAAAACCTAAACCCTAACCCCTAAACCCTAAACGCTAAACCCCTAAACCCTAAAACCTAACCCCCTGAACCCTAAACCCTAAAACCCTAAACCCTAAACCCTCAACCCTAAACCCTAAACCCTAAAACCCTAAACCCTAAAACCCTAAACCCTAAACAACCCTAAACCCTAAAACCCTAAACCCTAAACCCTAAACCCTAAAAGCCTAAAACCCTAAACCCTACACCCTAAACCCTAAAACCCTAAACCCTAAACCCGAAATCCTAAACCCTAAACCCTAAACCCGAAACCCTAAACTCTAAACCCTAAACCCTAAACCCTAAAACCCTAAACCCTAAACAACCCTAAACCCTAAAACCCTAAACCCTAAACCCTAAACCCCTACACCCTAAACCCTAAACCCTAACCCCTAACCCCTAAGCCCTAAGCCCTAAGCCCTAGACCCTAAACCCTAATCCCTAAACCCTAAACCCTAGACCCTTGACCCTAAACCCTAGACCCTAAACCCTAGACCCTAGACCCTAGACCCTAGACCCTAGACCCTAGACCCTAGACCCTAAACCCTAAACCCTAAACCTAAACCCTAAAGCCCTATACCCTAAAGCCTAAAGCCTAATCCCCTAAACCCTAAACCCTAAACCCTAAAACCCTATGCCCTAAAACCCTGGACCGTAAACCTTTAAACCCTATACCCTAAACCCTTAAACCCTAAATCCCTAAGCCCCTAAACCCTAATCTCTAAACCCTAAACCCCTAAACCATAAACCCTAACCCCTAAACCCCTAAACCTTAAAACCTAACCCCCTAAACCCTAAACGCTGGACCCCTAAACCCATAAACCAAATCCCTTAAACCCTAAAACCTAAACCCTTAGCCCTAAAACCCTAACCCCCTAAACCCTAAACCCTAAACCCTAGCCCCCTAAAACCCTAAAATCCTAAACCCTAAACCCTAAAACCCTAACCCCTTAAAACCTAAACCCTAACCCCTAAACCCTAAACGCTAAACCCCTAAACCCTAAAACCTAACCCCCTAAACCCTAAGCCATAAAACCCTAACCCCCTAAACCCTAAACCCTTGCCTCTAAGGCTCCCCCCAAAACGAAGACAAAGATTCCCCTAAGACATATGGCCCTAGAGTTGGAAGTTATCGCTGAATGATCATAAAGAGTAGTAGCTTGTAGTTCTGATTTAGAAAATGCTTTTTTAACTCATGTATAACATTACGACACCCCCGCATATAATTAGGGACTAAACATTATGGGATGGCCTCTTACTAAGTGAGGACATTATGTTGCTTTCTGTTTTGTTGTTTTTCCATTTTATCGCCGCTTCTGGTATCACTGTTTTTTGCATTCTTAACTCCTGCTCGTCAAATGTAAGGACTTTCTAATGGAACATCAATGTGTTTTAGCTATTTATAAGTGACATATATACTGTATGCTTAAGTATCTCTTCCTCTTCTTTCTTTCTTTCTTTCTTCTTTTTTTTTTTTTTTTTTTTTGGAAAACATACTAATAATAATAAATAATAATACACGCAATTGTACTTAGTTATTTATTACCCTAAAAAAAAAGTTTGTTACTCTTCCCTGCTTGTCTCATATATATAATCACTGAAAGTTCCAACTTGTTAAGGAAATTATTAGGATTTTAATTCTGATTGAACTTTTAAACTCTAGAACTCAATAATGTTAAAACTCAAGTATGATCCTTACCATAAAATTTATCTTTTTGATTCGTAAACGCACCCTAAGCTCGGGGGAAAGAAAAAGGTACAGACAAATGGGAACCTTAAAAAAGAAATATAAAACAAGAAGAATGAAAGAAGAAAGAAATTAGAAAGAAAAAAAAAATACATCTGATTTAGATACAAACCTCACAAAGAAATTGGAACTGAGTAGAAAAAATGTACAGTAAGCTGTAAGGCCAGGTATCAAACTAATGAATTTCCTTTATATCGTACTTCAGTCCTCCGCTCAAATATCACAAAAAACATGTAAAATTTAAAAATTCCCCACTACATCAAGCCACACACACCCATAGCAAAAGCTTTGCAAACCTAGAAAATAAAAGAAAGGGGGGGCGGAGGAAGGATAATGGTAATGAATTCCTAAAAACTGACTATACACCAAAAAAAAAAAAAAGAACAAATAAATAAAGACACATCACAGACGTTCGAACCATCACACTTGTTTCGGTTAATTAATCTATTTGGCAACCTTAACCTAAAAAATATTCCTCATCAATGACAACACCCAAACTAAACGGGTATCACGTCATTTTTGGACGCGTCTTCACATCTCAAAACAATGCCCTCAAGGCTTGCTGGAAAGATGCACTGCGCCCATTGGCATCCTGTCGTCAATGGCTCGGGTGGAGGGACGATCATAAGAACATTGTCGTTTCTTTGGACGACTCCCATCACACTAACCGTGATGCCTTCTTTGATGTACCTACAAAACCAAACCATAATTTTGCAGCTTAACGAGATAGGCACGGCAGTTATCAAAGAGATTTTTTATCAAGCATGACTCGTACTAAGCATCAAATGTTATTTTAGAGAGACCTAAATTGGACTCTACAGGATAGATATATATGTATTTTTAGTTTACCCCTCTTTCAATCGCATTGTTCGGTCATCACTTGAAAGATTCCTTTCTCCCAACCACCTGACAAACTCTGGAGACAAGTGTTCATTTGTTGGATTGACGTCAACAACAAAGGAGTCATCAACGTACGGAGCCACTCTCGCTCCATAACCAGTCTTAACCAACGCTCTCAAGCCCGATTGGAAATCGGAAATGTAGAAGTCTACCGCATGCCTCTGCCAAGCAATGCAAGAAACATCTCAGTGGGAAATATATCTCTATAAACTGGCACAAGAATCCAAATTCAAATTCACAGATCCATCCATCTTAAAGAGTAAAAAGTATAAAGAGACCCAAAAATGAAGGGGGGAAGAAATAGTGCTATGTCACAACAGGTGATAAGCATTTCCATTAGAAGTATATTAGATTTTAACTACTTTGAAAACAAAAACTTCTTTCAACAATTAAAAAAAAAGCATCTTTCTTTTAATTATCTACTCGACTACTCAATAGTAGGTTGCATCATTTCCACAGAAAAGTTCATTCTTCTTTTCCTTCCTCCTAAAAAAAGTTCCCTAAGAAGTTAACGGACTGACCACAAACCACACTATAACCCAGAGCTATTGAAACGCGTTGTATAAGTGACAATATAACAGATTTCAAAAGTCTTGACAAATACATAGAAATGTCCCTTGTGCACAAGGAATGTCCCTTGTGCATAATGCTCCTGCTTCATTTTTTTTTTTTTTTTTCCGTTTACTCTAATCTCTCTATCAATTGGAATTTTCTTTACTTCCCACATCTATGAAAGAGAAACTTTGAATTTTTCAGTTTTGGTGTCTTTGCCAGATGGGATAAAGGTTAACTTTACAAATTTTGATAGAAGATCGTGGTACTTAAATCCCCAAGGAAGGATTCTTGCAACAAGCATTTCCTTTTCTTTTTATGAGGTTTTCTGTAGAAGTTCTCGTTCTGTATAGAGTTAATGTTAGGACTCCCTCTATTCTAGACAAAAAATTATACGTGGAGCTAAGGAGAACAATAGGAATCCGAAGAAACAACCAGAATGGCCTGGTTCCTTTGATTGAATGATAATCACATACGTACAGGGAAAACAAAATGCAATACTGGAAAATACTAGAAATTAAAGATGGAGGTGAATTCGATGACCCCTCCTAACCTCCACAGACTCAAGTCTTCTCTTAATTCTCGATACCCTACATTCTCTAGCCGTAGGCTATTTATTTCACAATCCTCTAACTAACTCCCCTTCCCCAAATCTGACCCTTGCACACATCCCCATAACCCATAACCGTATTCTAACGACACCCTTTACCCTTGCCTTGATCCAATGATAGCCAATTTCCCCTCCTGCCCCTGCCCCTTCTTACTCCTCGCATACACAAACTTGAGGGTTGGAGTGCTAACATTACCCCCCGGGCGATCTCGCGGACAAACAAGGCAGCCACCTGGGTGGCTGTATAAGGGTGCGCCAAGGGGCAAAAATGTACCTGGCGCCCTCCTACAGTCACAAACCGGGAGTCCAAAACTGAAACTGGCTGAACCAGGAGCTCCAACGCATCAGTCAATTGTTCCGGCAAAGCCAGACCGCTGTATTGCTGCCCCTTAAAGGTGTTAAGCTGAGAGACGTGGAAGACCGGGTGAATTTTGGAGCTCTCCGGCAACTTGAGGTGGTAAGCAACTGGCCCGCGACCTTAGCGAACGGTAAAAGGTCCATAAAATTGAGGGCTAAGTTTTTCATTGAGTTTACGTGCCAATGACCTCATGAAATAGGGCCGCAGCTTTAGTAAAACCAGGTCACCAGGGGCGAAGTTGACCTCCTTGCGGTGCTGATCAACAAAATGCTTCATGCGCTGCTGTGCTAAGAGCAAATGATCCTTGAGGGCGTCTAGCATGAGATTGCGCTGCTGGAGCTGGACATCGACCTCATTGACGGCTGTTGATCCTTCGGGAAAACGATACAGGGGAGGAGGTTCACGGCCATACACTACTTGGAAGGGAGAGTACTTGGTTGAAGCATTATATGTAGTATTAAACCAATACTCTGCCCAAGGTAAAAACGACAGCCACTGCCGCGGCTTGTCGCAGGCGAAGCATCGGAGATATGTTTCCAAACACCGATTTGTAACTTCCGTTTGGCC